GTTTCAGCATTTTGCAGTTTGCAGAATAACTTGTTGCTCAGTGTTGCACCAGCCTGTGCAGTGCCTTGGTGGTTGATGCAGTCTTATGACCAGCTCTGGTCTGTTGGATGTAACTGAGAAGTTTCCATTTCCCACATGATGTTAGTTCCTTCTTTTACCTTCGAGCATGTTACATGAGGGTAAAAAAAAGCCTCTGGCCTAGAAGTGTTCCTGTCTCTTTTCAGGAACTCCATTTTCCTAGCACCTGGAGAATGCTGACATGGAGGAGCAGAGTCATCCTTTATATGGATAAAGGGATGAGAGAACTCTGGCCTAGAAGTGTTCCTGTCTCTTTTCAGGAACTCCATTTTCCTAGCACCTGGAGAATGCTGGCATGGAGGAGAAGAGAGTCATCCTTTATTTGGGTAAAGGAATGAGAGAAAGAGATGCCACTAGTGAATAATATTTTTTTTTCCCATCTAGGACTAGAAGACAACCTCTCTAGTGTGTAACAGAGCTACTGTTTGACTCCTGAGCAGGGAGACTTATTTTTGTATTTCTGTGCTGCTGCAGGCACTGATGCTTTGAGGTACCCAGGGCTCTGTTTCTGCATGGCACAGTTACAGCATAGAGCTTATCTCCTTGGCATAGTCACTGAGACTACAAGGAGGGAAGAGAAGTCCTGAGCTGCAGTTTATTCTGCTGGAATTTGATGCCAGTCTGATGCTAGTTTCTTGTGAAGCATGTAAGCTAAAATGTTCCAAAGACTGGTGTGTCCTCTCTGCTAGGCAATAGTCCTTCTCTTTTCTGTTTCTGGAAATCTTTTGCACATTGACTAAACCCAAAGCAGAGAATCTCTCTTCTCCTCTTCTCCAGCTTTTCCTCTCCAGTTTAGAAGATAACCCTGATGGAGTAGAGGACTCCTGACACATGAATGTCATCAGGCAGAGGATGGACTTGGGGGTACCAATTTGTAATTCAAATCCAATAATTACCCAACACAATATGGTTGAGTTTCATGACTTTTAAGCTTTTGTATGTAACTTATTACCATTTTAGAAGAAACCTTGTAGGTGTTTTCACCTTCCCTTAGTAGCTGGGCCTGTTTGTATTGGCTGGACATTCTCTAAGCAAGTCTGTTGTGTTGGGAGTCTCTGGAGATTTGGAAGAACATTCAGCTTACATAGTCCAAGGCAGCAGTAGCTTTATGTGCTCTCATTAGGAACTTTCAGACCCAAGAGAAAAGGAGCCTGGTGAGGGGTTTGCCTCCAATTCTACTGTTACTTAACAGATTGAATTGCAATAGGTGGTATTTCTGTTTTGTTCAAAGTGCTGAGCTGTGTCTGTGTTTTCTAAAAGAAATAATATCTGGGTTTGTGCTTCTTTGCAGGCGTAACCTGACAAAGTTATCCCTGATATTCAGCCATATGCTGGCAGAACTCAAAGGTATTTTCCCAAGTGGCCTGTTCCAGGGAGACACGTTCCGGATCACCAAAGCAGATGCTGCAGAATTTTGGAGAAAGGCTTTTGGTGAAAAGTAAGTTTCTAACTGTGCTTAAAAATAGAGATGTGGGGAAAAAAAAACTGCACACAGCACTATGTGTTCTTAAAAATCCTGCTTTGCAGTTCAGAAGGGGCTTTGTGAGGTTAAAATGAATGATGGGAGAGAGCTACTGGTCATTGGGTCCACTCTCTGAGGTGAAATACAGAATGTTCCTACATTCTATTTCCCAGTTCTCTGTCCTGTTTTAAATGTGTCAAGTAATAAGCCCACCCTCACTTTCCTCTTGTACTGTCACAGTGTTTCCTTTGATTATTCAGCCTAAATTCTCCTCTCCTTCATTTAATTCCTTAACTTTTAAGTAAGCTCCATGAACTATGCAAAATAATCTGCTTTCTTCTTGCAAAGGCTGCCATGCTCCTAATATTAGTTGTCCTTTAGCTAAGGCATTATATTAAATTCTTTTCATCTTCCCTCCAATTAGTCTTTCCAATCACTTAGTCACCTTTCTTCTGGCTCCTCTGAACGTTTGCCAGTTTGCATAATGGCTTTGTTGAGATAGAATGAAGGAGAGAGTGAAGTGCAGTGTATGTTTGTGTGCAAACTGTTGAAATGGCAGTTGTGGTTTTTGTATCTCCTGAAACACTGACTGAAGGAACTGTAGAGGTATAAACCTCTACATTTTATTTTACAGAGTATTAAAGTCAGTGGAATTGGGTACTGCTTTCCAAGTAAGGTAACTAGGGTGCTTCACATGAAGGGTTTAATTAGGAGCTGTCAGAACAAAAAGCAGTAATATGTTTGCTCATGAATAACACAGTTGTGTGAAGCTGGGCATGTTCTTTCTACCTTTCTATTCCACATGATAATTTAAGACAAAGAAAATATTCCTTTAAACAGGAGCCTCTGTTTTGGCTTCTGATTATCTTACCTCTCCAGTTAAACCCTCTTTAGAGAATTGTCTGCAGCTATTTTTTTTGTTTTAAACTACCCAGACCTCTACTAAAAGACTTATTGTTAACTCCTCCTTTACCAGCTGCAGTGTTATGAAATTCTTATCAGGGGATGGTGCTGTATACAGCCCAGGGGTGCATGCAAGTGTTGACATGATAGGACTGCAGAAAAAGGGGAAGGAGGAAGCAGAGCTGGGCTTCAGATTCCAAAATTCTGTATGTGCAGAGAAAATTGCTTACAGTTCATAAGGCTGCTGATTTCTTGCGGTACCAAGATACCCTGTGCTTGCATAAAATTAATAAATCTCCTGTGGCAAATTTTAATCTTCCTTTTTTTCCATTATCACGAGGTGCATACTAACCAAAAAAAAAAGTATAAAGCATGTTCATGGTGGTGGTGTTCAGACATATCCCACTTACAGATGGCTTGGTGTTCCCTAGGACCATCGTTCCTTGGAAGAGCTTCCGTCAGGCCTTGCATGAAGTGCATCCAATCAGTTCAGGGCTGGAAGCCATGGCCCTGAAGTCAACTATTGACCTGACATGCAATGACTACATTTCAGTATTTGAGTTTGATATCTTCACACGGCTTTTTCAGGTAAGGATTGAGGAAAATCACTTGAGATGTGTCTCAGTGCTTCAGGTTAGACTCTTTTTTCCAAGACAAACGACATTTTACACACTAACAGGACATTATTTATGCTGTGAGGTGTTGGTCGTCTTGTTCTTCATCCTCTAAACATCTCTAGTGATACTTAGGACCCCATATTGCAGTAAAAGTGTGTGATACTTCTGGCTGTAGAGGAACAAAGTGTCTAAATACATTCTGCAACTGAGGTACATTCAATATCCTGCCATGAATCAATGTTTCCCTTTCAAAGGTCACTTTTAGACTGAAATTCTGACACAACTTCTGTAAGCCAGGAAATGTGAAGCTGAGTTTTATCAGTCTGTCTTTCCTTGTCCTTTTTTTTCTTGTTGGATTTATTTTCCATGGGGGGGTGGGTTGTTCAGGATGGAGCCCAAGCATGGAAATCTGAAGCCTGCTAACCAGAATGTTGTGCATGAGAAGTATCTATATTACCACAGTGATATTAATAGTAGGTAGAATTCTAACCCACAGTCTCTAAAAGTGCTGAACTCAAAAACACAGCTTCTGATGGTGCAATTGGGTATTTACAGGAACAAACACTTACTTCTTTGCCTTTTCCCATGTGATAGGGTGGGTTGTAATTAAGATAGGTCTAGGAGAAAAGTTCCCATGTTGGGTGTTGCAATGTAGCTGATCTCATTCAGTATTTTTTCCAGTTACAGTACATAAAGAACAAGTTAAGAGTTGCTGCAGTTTCCAAGAGATGCAAAGTTCTTAGGGAGAGCTAATTTCTTTTAGACAAAATGAGAAGTTCTGAAAAATTGGATGAGATTTAAACACCTCAAGGACACCTCCTCAGGACAGGGAGCTTTCAAAAGGTTGTTAAGACCTTTTCTGCATCACTTTAAGGAATATTTAACATGTGTGTGCTGTTTTTTTTATTCATATCTTAGAGTAACCATTAGTCCTTGCCACACCCAAGTGAGGTCAGGTGGTTAAGGAATAGTCACAAGCATCTTGCACATAGTGAAACTGAGACAGAGAGGGAAGGTCACTTCCCTGAGACTGAGTAGGAAGTCAGTCTTGGAGATCAGACTAGTCATGGTTTCTGGTCCTGTACATGATCTTTTTAAGCTCCTGTCTTTATCCCTGTCTCAGGAATGAGTCATTTTCTCTGCAGAAGCAGCACAAATTGGTAGCTATTCTTGAGCTGTCTTTTTGTGACCTCAGTGACTTCTCCCTTGGCATTTATTAAAGGAGTTTTGATTAAGGTCTGTCACAGGTGATGATTTTATCACCAGCAAGAGAGATGCTAAAGCTGCTGCATGAGAATGTGCCTTTTAGTTCCTCAGTTGGATTTGTGGTGGGATAAGAAACCTGCTCCTTTAGCTGAAGATCCCTTTGATTAAGGAGTATTGTGTGTGTGGACACCTTTGAGAAGCACGTGGTTAAGATATTTCTTTGTTGTTTCTACAGCCATGGTCCTCTTTGCTCAGGAACTGGAACAGCCTAGCAGTGACTCACCCTGGTTATATGGCATTCCTAACCTATGATGAGGTGAAGGCCCGGCTTCAGAAATTCATTCACAAACCTGGCAGGTTAGTGCTTGGCAGCAGGGCCCTTTTTTTTTTTGGTTGTTATTGCTGACATTGCTGATTACTGCACCGACTGAGGAGACTGGCTTTATTTTGTCTTTGTCCTCCTGCCCATCCCCAAAGGTGTCACAACACCTCCCTCCTGCATGAGCAGAACACAGAGGCAGACACTGCCAGAGTGAGCCTGAACCATGGGCTGCTTAGAGCCAGGAATAAGGAGGTGTATCAGTAGGCCCCAAACCTTTCTGGTGTACATGCATAAAAAAAAGCAGGAAAACCAAGCAGATTTCAGCCTCCAGAATCACTGTGTGTATTTGAAACCAACCTCAGACAGACAAGGCAGCTGACCAGTATTTGCACTGGCAGAAAGCAGCATGGTAGTGGGCTGCAAGATAGTCCTGCAGGCTAGGTGGGCTTAAGAGATTGTGGGGGTAATGCAGGGTTTTTGGGGGGCTGTGGACCTGAGCAGGGTTGGGCTACTTAATAATGTCCTGGGGAGAACTTTGCCCAGTGCAACAGGGCTGAGAGATTTCTCTTTATGCAGAAAGGGCCAAGTTGTTAGTGTGTTATTAGTTCTGTGCTGGTTTTACAAATGGAAACGTTGTGTTGTCTGCTTGTTGGTTTTGTTGTTTGTTGGGGTTTTTTTAATTTAAGTTGAAACAAATTATTCTAATGATGCTAACTTTCCTTGCTCTGGATTCTGGGTTTAGTTTCACCAGGAGGCCAGTGGCTGGATGGTTTTTTCACTTCCTATCAGATTGGAAAGTTCTCCTTTGATCTTCGTGGGGGTAAATTAAAGAAACCTAACATAAATCATCACATTATTCCTCCTAGTTTTTATATGTTGATTTGAAATAGCCACATGAAAACTGCTTACTTGACATTTATTTCTGACTCTCCCCAGTCCAAACTGAAGTTTCTTTTCCTTTGTGTGTTTTCAGTTATATTTTTCGACTGAGCTGTACACGTCTGGGCCAGTGGGCCATTGGCTATGTCACTGCAGATGGGAACATTCTTCAGACAATCCCCCACAACAAACCTCTTTTCCAAGCACTGATTGATGGCTTCAGGGAAGGCTTGTAAGTAACTATCAAGTTTTTTTACACCTTTGCCCATTATCACTGTGTTTTCTGAACCTGTGGAGGGGTCTTAAAGTCAATTGAATGGAAAAATGTACTCTCTTTTGAACAACTCTCAGCCCTTCCTTTTTATTGATTCAGCAAAACAGTTCAGTCATGTGAATCCATTGATGTCAGTGATAATTCATACTCTTAACACTTTTGGCACCCTAGAATCCTCAGCTATCTGTTGCACTGGAGAGCTGCTCTGTCCTTTTGCAGTTGCAGACAGCAAGTGTGCGTCAGTGTTTCTCTCATCATAGGTTCTGTTCCAGTCCTTAATTTGAGCCACTGCAAATGACAAAACTGGACAGTTTCATTATAGTGTGATTTAAGAAGAGTAGTCTGGGACCATAACATCCTGCTTAGAATAAAAATCACTGCCAGGAAGGAAGACAAGCTTCTTTGTGTTTTTAAAAATCACATATTTGCGTTTTGTCTGATAATAAAATTCATCCCAAACTTGTTTTGAATTCCCACCTCTCACGTCTCACCTTATTGCTTCCTCCACCATCCCCAAAAGAAATGTTATGTGTGTGGTTGTGTGTGTGTGTATGCACAGACAGAGACTTTTTTTGTTCCCCCACTGTTTACAGTTATTTATTTCCTGATGGCCGGAATCAGAATCCTGACTTGACTGGCTTGTGTGAGCCCACACCTCAGGACCACATTAAAGTTACACAGGTGAGCAAAATACTCTATCCCATAAAACTCTCTTGCTTCCTAATTTCTTGCCTCCTTAGATGTTTATACAGTTCTGTCATACTTGGTAACCCCAAGGCTTGTTTTTAAGGCTAATGTATTTTACAGGAGTTGCAGAAATCTTTGACTGGTAGGAATGGGCAGAGGTTATGTTGCAAGGGTTGGGTAAAGCTTTATGTAGGGCTGACAGAAATTTTTTAATTTATTTTTATTTTTAGAATGTTCTGCCAAATATTCATTCTTTTATGCTGTCTAGCATATCTTGAGCCCTGCTTTCCTAGGCTGTTCTTGGGACACCTAGATGAAAATCTGGGTTAACTTGAAGCCCACTTTTTTCAGAGCTTGACAGATATTTCAGATATATAAAATTATAGCTAAATCTTTGGAGAGTTCTTTGCAGACTTCTTTGCAGACTTCTTTGCAGATTTCTGTTCTCCTTTGCACTGTCTTCTTGGCTTTGGAATGGATTCATTATTTCCCAGAAATCTCGTGTTGAGTTTCTTGTGGTTATGACTAATGGTGTGTGTTGTTTTACAGTATCCACCATGTCTGTCTGTCTGTCTTTCCCCAAGGAACAATATGAATTGTACTGCGAGATGGGCTCCACGTTTCAGCTGTGTAAAATATGTGCTGAAAACGACAAGGATGTGAAGATTGAGCCCTGTGGGCATCTGATGTGCACGTCCTGTCTCACTGCCTGGCAGGTGAGGCTTTGCCTCTTCTTACCCTCTCTGAGTGAAGCCAATTGCTCATTTGCAGAAGCAGTAGATTCTCTTCTCAAAACCATTCACTGTCCTTCAGGTATGGAGATAAAAGAGCAGAACTGAGGACTTCTATAAGCTCATAGTTCAGTTATACTGGTGCACCAGTGCTTCACCAGCTCAGGGAGAAGCTGGTTAGACAGATGCCTGGTCTCCTTATCTAATAATCAGCAAGAAGTGTGAAGACTTGCTAAAAACCTGTTTTCTAATTCAAAGGGAAAATACTCCCTCTAATTGTAGCACAGCTTGCCTTCCTGTCTTCCTCTCAGTTGCAAAGCACTTGCCAAAAAGCAGGTTGAAACCTCTGTGTATGTTAACCCTGTGTTGACTTCCTGCCTGACAATGGCTGTAGTAACAGAGCTCTTCTCCCCTGAAGGAATCAGAAGGCCAGGGCTGCCCTTTCTGTCGCTGTGAGATCAAAGGCACAGAGCCAATTGTAGTGGACCCCTTCGACCCCAGAGGAGGAGGAGGGTTATCCAGACAAGGGGCAGAAGGAACTCCCTCACCCAATTATGATGATGACGACGACGACAGAGCTGATGATTCCCTCTTCATGATGAAAGAACTCGCTGGTACCAAAGTAAGATGGCCAGAGTATGTGCTAGAAGGTGTTGCAGAATGTACAAAGACTTCATCAGCTTTCTGTGGTCTTAGGGATTTGTGTGTGTGAGAGTTGCCAGACCTTATAACAGGAAAAGATTTAATCAGGCTGGAAAATGTGGGTTTAGGTTCAGTTTTGTCAGTTCAGTTTATGCTGTCAGTTCTATGGTGATATGGTGAGCACACTTTGAAGCCCTTGATCTTTTCTGGGTTGTCTTGCAGGGTGAAAAGAAGGGTGAAAAGGCTGGCTTGGCCTGTTGGAATGTTAAGATCTAGGTTTATAACACTTCTCTGCATGCTTAGCAATGCTGCGTTTGATTTATTAGCCATAGTTCACCCCTATCAGCAAAAATTCATCCATCTTCTCCAGTGATGAATACAGCCAACAAGATACAGTCAAGCTGCTGATGACTAACAGTGTAGAGGGCAGGCTGTTTTGCTGAGGAAGTCAGTTTGGCTGTCTTCTTTTTATATGGTGTCTGATAAATCTGTATAATAAAAGTGTGATAACTCTCTGCCATTGGTGTACTTCCTGGTAGCAGAGATATACAAGACAGGCATTCTTTATGGATGTTTTTTCTAAAAGTTTGCTGCTTTTGCATGGCATTTAGCATTGTTTTACTGCACAGGGAGGTGGGTTTGAATTTGGCTAATTTTTAAGAGTTGAATTCACTAAAGTAAGCTGCCTTTCCTGGTCAGGAAGAATCCTCAACACTGGTTTACCTATAGCCATATATCTCTTTAGCTTCTGCCCTGTGAAATAGGGTACTAAACAGTAAACTGTATTCCTGGAGGTAGTTTTTTTACACCTAGTTTGGGGAAGCAAAGCAATTTCCTCAGGGTGACATCCTCTCTTGGTTTGCACCAGGCTAGTGCTCTATATTTGTTGCCACTAGTGAGTTCCAACTCGTGTAAAGCTTTTCTAAGTTAGAAAGCACCAGCCTGGCTTGTAAAATAAACTTTACAAAAAAAGAGAAGAACAGGCACTGTTGTGATTTGTTAGGTGGAAAAACAGCTTTCTGGGGAGAAAAATGGAGGTTTTGGTGCACACTAGTGATGGCTGCAACAGCCATGACAATGCAGTCAAGGCAGTTTGCACATCCTTGCCTGGTTTGGCAGCAGATCCTGCCCTCTGGTGTCGAAAAGAGAAGCAGCTCCTCACACTCAGGGCTCAGCAAGGGAGGTTTGCTACTCCAGCACAACAGCTTTTCTTTTCTTGTGCCATTGCCAAGTGTGCATTTTGAGTGGTGCACCCCAGCTGCTCCCCTTGGTGTTCTTCAAGGCTTGCTGCAAGCCAGGTGCTGTTGTGCTGGGAAATTGCCTTCATTTATTGAGGCATGATTGTTAGCAAGGTAGCAATTCATTCCCAACAGCCCCATTGAAGCCAGTACAAGTCACAGAGCATGAAAACCTCTCTCTAGAGTAAAGGAGTTCTGCTGGATTTTGTCACTTGTTGATTTTCCCATTCTTTTCTTTTCCAGGTTGAGCGTCCTCCTTCTCCCTTCTCAGTAGCTCCACAGGCCACCCTTCCTCCTGTGCCACCCCGACTGGACCTTCTGCAGCAGAGAGTGTCCAATCCTCCTGGGGCTTCCAGTCCTGGCACCACTTCAAAGGTCAAACACTCTTTGCCCTTTCAGCTGTCATTTTGGTGGGGCAGGCAGAAAGGAGAGCATTCTGTTGAACTCTATATGTTCCCTGTAATACACCCTAAGTGCTTTCACACAAAGTCTTTTTCTTCTTCCTTTTCTGTAGTCTTGTTAGGCCATTTTCCTTCCATTCCCCATGAGAGCCCAGTCTGTCCTGAAAGCAAATGCTTCCTTCTGGAATCTGTGGTAGGAGAGTCCCTTTTTTTTGCTGTTAAAGGGCCTGTCTTTACTTCACACAACAAACCTGGTCCTAAGCTGAAGGACTTACTCCCTTAGGGTGGCTGGTGTTGTCCTACCAAGTTATCATCACTACCAATATCTCTGCTGGTTTTCAGCTTCAGCTGCTGCTGCCTGTGCCCTTTGGAGCTGCATTTATGGGATTGTGTTTTGTTCAGGCCAGCAGGTTAGCTGTGGGAAGGTGTCATATTCCTGTCCCAAATTTTCTTCACGAGTTTTTCCCTCGAGCATTTTTTCAGATAGAAAAGAGGGAATGAAATATGTGTGACTGGGTGAGATTAACTGGTTTTCTGATTAGCAAAATGATTTCTGAGTAGAAAAAAATAAGTAGTGTGATCTTGGTGACTTTTGGTCTTGGCTGTTGAGGAATGTCAGCAGATCTTCAGCTGGTTTGGATGAAGTGATGAAATTATGCTTGAAAGTTCAGGCATAAGAAAATACCCATTTTTATGACTATTCATTGCTGACTGATGAATGTTAACTTGGATAAATTATTCACACACAGCCTATTCTTTTTTTCTAAAGTATGAGTATCCTTAGTTTGGAATCCAATCCTCCTGTAAGCTTTGTTTTTTCTTCCAAGAAAAAATAACCTGGGGTGTTTAGTACCTGTCTGTAGCTGCAGGTGGTTCCTGTGCTGTTTCCTCAGGCCTGTAGAGACGTTGTCTCTGGAGGGTTGACTTGTGGAGATGTGGAGAGTTATCTCCACAGCCTTTGAGACAATTTCTTGTAGAAACAGCCAAAAGCCAAACCTTCTGCCACCCACCTCCCTCCTTTTTATGCTTTGTGGCTAGACTTGCCTTCCCTAAGCAACCTTCTGCATTATTCTGCCTTGCAGGCTGCACCTGGTGCTCTTCACAAGGACAAACCTTTGCCCATCCCACCCACGCTGAGAGACCTCCCTCCACCCCCACCCCCGGACAGGCCCCATCCCATCGGGACTGAAGGTCGCCCTCAGAGACGTCCCCTGCCCTGCACCCCAGGAGATTGTCCTGCCAGGGACAAGCCCCCCCCCGTGCCCTCCAACCGCCAGGCGGATCTGTGGCCATCCAGGCCGGTGCCCAAGGCCCCAGCTGTAGCTCTCAGCCCCGGGGACCCTTGGGCTGGGAGAGAACTGTCCAACAGGCACTCGCTTCCCTTTTCCTTGCCCTCTCAGATGGACTCCAGGGCTGAGAGCCATCTGCTTGGGAGCACGCTCAGCCTGGACAACCCAGTGGTGAGTACTCCTCTGGGAGGTGAAGGTGATCTGTGAGTGATTAAGTCTTCCAGGGTGCCCTCTTCTCATATTTATATCTGAATCTGGCCCTCTTGTGCCGAGGAGAAGAACTGCCAAGTGCCCTGAAAGGGAGCATGATCATGAAATATTAGGGATGGCTTCCTAGGGAAGTGCTTTTGTGCCTCTTGGGAGCAAGGAGGAAATCCCAGTTTGACCACTCATGAGCCACAGATTTGTGATCACTTCACCTTTCAGTTTTGAAAAGCTGAGAATGTTTTGTATTGGGACCCGATAGGCTGAAAAAGTATCATTTACTATGCTCAGTTTTCAGCCCTGTAAAACCTACACACAGTAGCTATGATTAATTTACCATAGTGAAATCTGAGTTAAATTTGGATCTGTTACTATTCCAATGTCATTATGAGTGACTAACAACTAACAAGTTGTTCTCTGAAAGAAATCCTAGGCAGTTTTATTTTCTTTGATTCCACTCCCTTAATTTTTCCTTTTCAAATCTCCAGCTTTCTAAAATTGAAAGCAAGTGCCATTTTAGCCAGATTGCCTGAGAAAATGACACTTGCACAGCTGTCATTCTTACATGTGTGCTTATCTGTATCCTTTTCCTCTTGTCCCCCATTTTGGCCCATTTCAGCTGAATTTGCCATAGCCATTGGAGTCTCAAAAGATACTAAATTCCTGCAGTTCTTGTGTAAACAGGCAGTTGGCTACAGGAGCAAAACCCTGCTTGTGTCTTCATTGGGGGAAAACTCTTAGGGAACTACTGAATTCCTAAGGTGTCAGTAAATGCTTTGGAATAAATGAAGATGCTTCAACAGAGGATATGTTAAGTGACTGACTGACAGCTTTGCAACAGCACTGCTGTATGTGGTGTTTCTGATTTCTGGTTTGGGGTTTTCTCTTTCAGAGCTTGAACAGCGGTCCACCGACAACCTCAGAGTGTGAACACCCCAAAATTAAACCCTCTTCATCTGCCAATGCCATCTACTCCTTAGCTGCCAGGTCTGTTGTTTTCTGGCAGAAGTGCTCTTTTCTAACTGACAGAATGGTAATTGTAGGGCTCTCTCCGTGGTGGTGCCAAGGACACAACTCTGCCAGGCTTAGTTTCAACCTCTGACAGATTCAAAACACACTGTCTAGAGTAAGTAGATGAAATCACCATCTCCAAGATCTGTGGCTAGTGCTGGTAGTTACCCCAGCTACAGCTGCCATTAGCTCTTCCATGAGTTCCCTTCTGAGCTGGTCTTTATGTGATGTAGGTAATGTACAGTGTGTGTAATGTTGTTAACTCCCTTTTGCATTGTGACTTTATGCCAGTGTGACTTCCAGCTGGGCTGCTGAGAATCCTGAAAGCCACTTTATTTCTTTAAACAGAATCACTATAAGGTGGCTACTTGTTACTTCTGCTGTGAATTTTAAAGGCCACTTTAATATTCATTAGATTTGGCATAAATGTTTTTTTTTCTGGTGTTTATACCTTATTGTTTCTTCTGCCTCTAGACCACTGCCTGTACCCAAACTGCCTCCTGGGGACCAGTCTGAAAGCGATGAAGACACTGAGTACATGTCACCATCCTCTCTGCCTGTGGTGCCTCCAGGTCCTGCTGTACAAAAACCAGAGCTCAAAATGCCTTTGGAAATGACCCAGAGTTTACGGTGAGGTGCTGGTTGTGTGTACTGTGCTTCCTCCTCAGGGCTCTGGGGGAAGCATGTTCGTTTACTAGGGCAGAGATTGGGCTTGCTAAATCTGCTGAATTTCCCCAGTGATGCTCACCAGATGCAGACTAATGTAGGAAACTGTAAATGAAATGTGACTACTGCTTGTTTGCAGAACCCTTACACAGTATTAAAGCAGTCAGATAACCACTCCCCTCTCTTTCTGCCAATAACCTTTTGAGAGCAGCAGCAACTGAAATCCAGAATTCTATTGAAAGCTTGTGTTCTGGTCAATTAAACTCTTCATCTGTACTGCAATATAGATTCCTAGAGCTTTTTCCAGGACAAATATTCTTCCACAGAGGAGTGGTGATTTCTCTTTGAAGCAGGGATCTGTGCAGAGTCTCAGTCACAGGGACTAGGTGGTGGTGTTGGGCCACTGTCAGTTGGGTGAAGGGAAATCCTTGTTCTCTCCCTCAGAGTTTTAGACTGCGACCAGCAGACGGATGGCTGCATGTATGAAGCAATGTACAACATTCACTCCCAAGTAGCATCTTCTGCTTTTGAGTCTGTCAACACTTCTGGTGAGTGGGTGTGCTAAAAAAACAACCCTAGAAACTGGGGTGCAATGAATTGGTCCCAGTCCTAGTTGGAACAGCATTTTTTTTGCTGTTAAAATGGCTAGAAAGCGTGTGGAAACATCTGTGTCTGTGTGCTGCAGACTCCATGTGGGGATGTTGTTGGGAAGCCTGGGTGGAATGCACTGGAAAAATACTCAACACTTGTTAAAAAAATTGCTGTTTTGAAGTTTTGTTTTGTTTTTTTTCAGCTGTCAGCCCACATCTATCATAAGTATTTTTAATCTAATATTACCTTCTGAAAAGAGCTACTATTGAGTGTAGGGTTTTGGCAGCAAACCCTCTGTTCTGTGTCCTGTCAATGTTTGTGAACTACAGAGGAACAGAGTCTCCCTTGAGAGAGAGAGAGAGGCTCTGTTCAGTCCCAGAGCTCTGTTCAGTTCCAGAGCTTAAACGTGCCTCTTATTCTAGATGAAGGGGACCTGGCAGCAGCAGCAGCCACTGCCAGCAATGGCCCTGAAGAGTCAGAAAATGAAGAAGATGGCTATGATGTCCCCAAACCACCACTCCCCGTTGCCATTGCCCGTCGCACACTGTCTGATATCTCCAATGCCACGCCTGCCTTCAGCAGAATGTCCTTGGAAAATGACCCTGTGACAGGTTAGAAGCCACCTGGGCTCTTCATGTTGTCGTGGGCACTGAGGGCTTGAAACTCCTGTCACTCACTCAAAGCTTTGGGAGCAGTCTGTAAAATCAGGGTTATGAGGCAGAGTTAACACTGGGTCTGTTTGGTTTACAGCTTGGAGGACACTGCCTTGGTCTCTAGCTAGCCACTGAGTTAGTACATCCCATTTACATCACAGTTAGGAAAACCTTTCATCAGCTTAAAGGGTATCCCTTAAGCCACCATTTCCTCCAGGGCATGGCATACTCTGTGCCAGAGCCTACCAGGGCATGAAGCAGAACTTCAGAACCTTGCTGCTTATCCCTCTGCCAAGTGAAAGGAGACAGGGCTGGCCTTGCAGAGCATCCATCTGGCTCTGCCTGTGGTCGTTGCCAGCAGATGGCACAACTGTGCTCTTTGAGCCCAGCAGGGCTCAGCAAGGTCAGCTCTGTATCCTTGGGGAGCAGAGGACATCTTGTCCTTCTGGCTGCAAGGCACATTCTTCGAAGGAGAAAGCAAAGCCTCATCTCTCTGAGAGCCTTTCTGAATAACACTTGACTTCTTCCCTACAACTGCCCTGCAGCTCTGAGGGACACTATGAAACTCTTCCTGTTGGGGGGCTTCCAACAGATCTGAGCACTCTGGGGATCTGCCAAGAAAGAGAAGTGAATTTCTTGTTCCTCCTGGAGGCAGAGCCTCCTCTACTCAGGACCACTTGCCCCAGTGAATCTTCTGTTTATGTTCTTCACCACCTCCCTTTCCCTGAGCTTGCCCTTCTTCAGCACAGAAAAGAGTTTACTAGTGCAGAGAATTTAAACAGCTTTTTTGTCACTCCTCCCTCCCTCCCTTTTTAAATCTGTCACTGTGTCTGTAGAATGTGGCTGACAGGGATAAGAAGGGACAGAGAGAGCTCACATCCTTCTCCCAGATGAAGTACTGAGCTTAATTATTGACAGTTCTTTGTTTCAACAGCCCTGAAATAAGAGTGGTATTGTCCTGCTCTGTGGTGTTAGGAAGTCTGCTAATGAAACTGGCTGTGAAAATGCTGATGGTTACTGCTCTGGGAAGCATGGGCAGTTTTCTGAATCACTGAGTTACTGTCAAAGCCTGGTGTTTAAGCAAGCCTGACTAGTATGGAGTACATTTTGGCAGATTGATGTACTCGTTGTGCCCTACAGTTTAGTTTCTTAATCATTTACCAAAAAAAAACGGTGCTGTGAGTTGTCCTTTCAAATTGACCTGTGGTCTCTGAAATTTGATCCAGTTCAAGCTGAAAGAGCCATTTCAGAACACAGTTTTGGGGAAGAGAAGTGGGTATTCCTTTGTCTCAAGTGCATAAAAAGTTTTTTATGTGTAAGAAGCTTTGAGGACAGGGACTTGAGCTGCATTGTGGTTGGTGAGGGAGATTCAGTGAATTTGTTTCCTGAAGAGCCTTTTCTGTCCTGGTGCTTTTGTTACAAGTTTTTCAGAAGGGCTCCACAATGACTGCCTCTTTTCTGACCAGTGCTGCAGTGCCCACTCTTAAAAAGGGATGGTTTGGGCATTCTTAGTCTTATGGAATTGTCTGTTGTGTACCAGTTCTGCTGCTAGAAAACTCCCTCTTGGGTGCCTGGAGGGCTTTCTCCAGAAGACCAATATAACTTTCTTTAAGGTGATGCCAAACACTCATGCAGAATAGTTTTCTGTGATGTGGAAAATAGGACAAAATGCTTTCTGTGATGAAAAGAAACTCAAAAATGATCAGATGTTGGATTAACATGCTAAGCAATGAGTGTTGGGTGTCTTCTTTGGCTGTTTTTTTTTCTCCCTGGGACTAGTGCAGGAGACAGCTACTGGCAGGTAGCATAGGAATGGTAAGAGGAAAGTCAGAACAGACTGACCTTACTGATCTGCCATAGCCATTAGGTAGGACAAGCACCAGCAGGAGACCTTCTGGATGGCCCTGGCCTGCTGATGGGCTGCCAGAGGAAGAGGAGCAGACCCTTCAGAGAACATCCTTCACTGCTGGAGCGGTTGTGGGGGATGAGCTGTAACTGATAGCTCTAGCTGTGTGCATACACTCCCTCAGCACACTGCAACGTGGACAACAGTTCTGTGAGGAGAGATCAGCATCTGGACAGCTAATCTGGAGGTTGCTGTCTGACTCTAGAAGGAACCAGAATGTTAGCTGAAGTTGCATGTTCTCAGTGTCACGTTTTCCCAGCAGGTCTCTATTTGTCATCCTAAGGCTGATCTCTGAGCTCTGCTCACACTCACACATATATTCCTTGTCATTGTTTTTCTATTTATGTGGACTTTTCTCAATAAATCAGCCTTATGTGGGCTCCTAGTTAAAAAAATCTTCATTCTGCACACGAGAGGGGGAGCTGAGCTAATCCGCGCGGTTCTGAGAGAGAACAGACTGGTTGGAGAGAGTGCTTTTTAAAGCACCATTTATCAGGCTGATGTCATCGCCGCTTTGTTCCGAGCAAGAACCACACGTCCCTTTTTGAAGTGCTGCATTTGTTTCTCCTTCCAGGTTTTTCAGATGGCTCTCAAGTTCCAGAAAGGCCGCCGAAGCCGCTGCCACGGAGGATCAATTCCGAGCGGAAAGCAGGGAGCTGCCAAACAGGAGGAGCCAGCAGTGGGACCAGTGCCTCACTGCAGCTCTCCAGCGAGATCGAGAACCTCATGAGCCAAGGCTACTCATATCAGGACATTCAGAAAGCACTGGTCATTGCACATAACAATATTGAAATGGCCAAGAATATTCTCCGTGAGTTTGTTTCCATTTCCTCCCCGGCGCACGTGGCCACATAGCACATTACCTCCACACCTACAGCTTCTGTGGACCAACTGCCTGGGCAGCCGTAAGCCCAGCTGCACACCAAAAGGGGAAGGGGGTTCCTTTAGAGACTTCGTGCTGAGGTCAGTCCTGCCTCTTCAGAGAATCAGTTATCAGGTTTCTGTGGTTCCAGATTTCAAAGCGGTGGAAGGAAAACGGAGCAGAATGGTGTTTTATACAGTGTGTGTCTTGGAGTCCTTTACCCCTACCTCTTGTTTGAGAGAACAGATTTATTTCCAGGGCCTTGGTAGAGAAAGGTATCACAACAAGGGATCCCCGAGCTGATGCCCTGGAGGCTGGGGGGAGTGTTTTGTGCTGTGAATTCTAAGTGAATGCTCTGAGAAGCAAAGTCTCGAGGTCGGTGTGGTGTGTCCTGTGGTTCATGGTACTAGGTTTGGATCTGTTCGCTGCTATGTGTCTGGCTCAGGCTTTTTAGAGCAGCTCAGAGGCCACTTTCTGCTGGGAATAAAGAGGAGACCTTGGAAGGATCTTTTGATTGCTTCCTGTTTGCCATGGCATTTCCCTCTTGCCTGTAAGAATAGCAGTTATTGCTTATGATTCAAGTCCTCCCTTTCTGCCCAGAGAGAACGTGACTGGCTTCTGTCAGGCATTTTGATCTTGACAGTGCTGGGAGTTGGATTTCTCTCGTGTGTCCCCTCTTGCTGGCAGCACTGGCAGCACCAGATTCCAGGCAGCTAGACGTGCTGAAAGTTTCACATGTTTTTGAGGGGTGGGAGAGGGCAGAAAGAACCCGAGCGAGAGTAAAGAACTGGCTGCTGCTTCTCCTTTTTTAGCCTTGAGCATTTTGTGCTTTGATGCTCAGACTTGATTGTGGCCCTGCTGGGCTCGAGCAGCCATCAGGGGACGTTCCCATACCTTCTTTCTCTAGGAATGTTGCACCTGGTAAATATGATGTTTTATTTATCTTCATTGCATGGTGGCTGTCGCAGATTCCTAGTGGCCTTCACCCACATTCCATCATCTCCTTCAGGGAGCCAGCTGTCTTTTTGTGCCAGGCTGTTTTGTGGAATTGGTAGCTGCAGCTGATGTTATTTGTTGGTGTCTTACCTGCTTTGCAGTCAAAGAAGTGCAGCAGTTCTCTGCATGGCTATCAAAACAACACGGGGGGGGCTCTTCTTTCCATTTTCATCACTCTAAGGTATGGCCAGAGCTTGTGTTAAAACAGGCCTGGGAAACTTCTGTATTTTGTGAAACAATCACAGGGCTTTGAAAGTCAGTGCTCAGCTGTTACTTTGGCAATAGCTGACTTGCAGACTCAGCTACTTAACTCTGTTCCTATATGCTTGGTGTGTGAGAAACGTGTGGTGCCTTTGGAGAGGATTTAGGGACACACAGATCACAGCCTGACAGAGGAGCAAGTGTTCTGTGCACACTGAGAGGCTGGCAGCCCTTGGAAGCATGTCCAGCATTATTGGATTCTCTCTAAGGGCAGCAGCAGGCACTAGGCAAAGGGTTGCAACTTGAAATATTGTTGGAGTGATTATGGCTGTTGGATGCTGCTGAGAATTCTGAAGGATCCAGTAGCTGGGCACAGGTCTCAGAGAAACAGCTTGCAACTGGCAGAGAGGACTGGAGAGTATGAGCAAAGGGAACTATGCAGCAAATCTTTGGTTCAGGTAGAGTATAGGTTTCTCTTTAGATCTGTAGCTTTATAAACTGAGGCAGTGGGTTCCATGCAGTTGAAAAGTATGAACTGCCTCTCTTTCCTCCCCTCCTTTCTGCAGTGAAGAAAATGTTCTCTGGAACTGTAAGGTGATCTCCTGCAACATTTACAGGCTGTCACCACCGTTGCTATTTTCAGGCTGGGGCTGAAGCTTTCCAGTGGAGAGCCCACTGGTGAGATTTATGTCAGTGGGCAGGGAGCTCTGCAGCCCTGCAGGGAGAGGTCAGGCAGAGCTGGGGGCAGGGTCTGGCCTGGGGGAGGCTGTTGAGCTGCAGAGAAGGTGATGTCAGGGCACGTTGCACTCAGGGGGGAGGAGCTGCTCCTCTCCCTCAGCCCACACGTGCAGCAGCCAGTGTTCTCATGAGCAGGTCCTGCCTTTTCTGTGTGCAGGGCTCTGCCAGTGAGGCACAGCAGCCTTGGTCAGTGTGTTTGCAGGAGTGTAGAGAAGCCAGCCCAGCACTGGTGCTGCTGAAGCAGGAACATGGGGCAGCTCTGGTTTTACCCTCAGTAGATCTGCATGTTGAGCAACCAGTCCTAGCCCATGAGTTATTTTCTGGCTCCAGCCTGGAGAACCAGCTCAAAACCTTTTCCTGAGGGAGCACTACGGTTTTATTGCCCTCTTTTTCATATTCTCTCCAGTGCTGCCACTAGCTCCCTGTTAGGTTTGGAGCCACTTTGCTTCTGACTTGCTCTGTAAACTCAGCACAAGTGTGTTCAAGTGTGGCGTGTGACTCTTGCCACTGCCAAGGCTGTGTAAGAGCCAAGTCTGGCCAGCTAGGAAGCCTTAACTCTTGTCTTGCACAGCGTGTGTGACCAGACTAGTGATGCCCTGTCCCATACAAACCCTTTATTACAGCCTTGTAGTGTTAAATCCTGCCTAACAGAGCCCTTACAGGCCTGTCTTTGGAGTTTATGTGCTGAGACATCTCCCTGTGGGCATGGATCCAGGGATTAGAGCGAGCAGCCTTTGTGGCACCTATCACTAATTTTCCTGCATGTGTCCTTTCTGTGCACTGTTTGTGTCTCAAAGTGGTTTAAGAAACTCAAAAGCCTTTTCTTCCTTGGACATGGAAACGTTTGCTGGTACCACTGAAGTGCAGCAGAGTCCTGCCCATGTCTCCTGGCTGCCCTCTGTCAGCCCAGTGGATTTCTCTTGTTCTTTCAGAGAGCTAAGCCCAAGATTGATTTATCTTTCCCCCCCCATCTCACCTCTTTGATCTTTACTCTTAATAAATTAACTTTATGACGCTATTTTAAAAAAGAAAAACAAACAAACAACCCCACAACCCAAAGGTCTGGTGCCTTTCCTGAGGGAATGCTGCATTGCCAGGATCCCCCTGTGAAAACAAAAAGCCCAAACTTAGACAAGCTGGAAAGATGTCTTTGAAAAGGGATGGAAAAAAGGGGCAAGAAGGACGGGCAGTTGTCACTTCAGCTGGGCCACTGTGTTTTGTAGCACTTCAGCTGTGGAGGATTCCTGCTTTGAGTGGCTTGCCTGGGCTAAGCTTGGCCTGAAAGCAGAACTGTAGGACAGGATTGGAGCAAAACATGAGTTCCACTCAAAAAAAAATGCTGGTTTCCCTCCCCTCTCTGTCAGCCCAGGCCACCAGGCAAGCAGCAAACCCTTTGCACAGCAGGAGCTGGGCCCAGAGCAGGTGGGGCCAGCAGATGTGTGGGGCAGGGTGTGTGCCTGCCCTGCCCCACGTTGCTTCCTGCACTAGACTGATTCCATTACTGTAGCTAATCCTGAGACAGGGTCATTACTGTAAACCTTTTTTTTTTTGTGTGTGTGTGTGTTTTTCTTTTCAGATGAGCAAGAAAAAATGCAACTCCCAGGGCACTTTCTTAAAGGTGCCACTTAAAAAAAAAAAAATCAGTGGGGAATAAGGTTTGGTTTTAAAGTTCCTAATAGAAACCTTGGTTGGGAAATCCCCAGTGGGGGGAGGAACAGTTTTTCTTCCTCTTGAATGACAAATACCAATTTGTATAATTATCAGTGTTAAAACTGTTGAGATTTTTCACAAAATATTTTAAAAAAAAAAAAAGTATAATAGTGTCATTAATATAAAAATATAATAGCAGTATTTAATCCTTTCAGATCTGTAAAGAATAAGGAAAAACAGAAGGTAAATATTCTTACAGAGAGTAGCTGAGCTTTAAGGTTCACTTGGTTTAAAGTCCTCATTTTGTTTGCAGATGCCTTGTTTTAATGTGTAGAGGTTATACTAATGTTATTTATTAATTGTTTCCATTCTTGTATGCTGCCCACTAAGAGCTTCTTTGTTTGGGATTCCATTCACCCGTGTCAGTAAAAAGAAAAACGAAACAAAAGTTTTATTTTTCAATAAAATTTCCTTTGTTGTAGCACATGGTCTGGGGGCTGCTGGTTCTGTGGAAGGACAATCCTGCCCCAGCCAGGCTCTGACATGTTCCATCTCCTGCATGTCATGGAGGTGGCAACAGATTTTGGGGGTGTTTTAACCCAGGACAGGAGGTTCAGGGGGCTGCTGGTGGTACCTGGGGACAAATTGAGGACACGGGGGTCACGTTGGGTGGGGGGAACCCTCTGGAAAAGACAGAATGGGGTCAGATGAGACCACAGAGGGTGGCTGAGCCCCTCCAAATAGACCCGGGGGGTTCAATGAGGATAGGGGGGGTCACTCGAGGTCATGGGGGTTACCTGAGGTCAAAGGAACCCCTCCAAAAAAATCACTGTGAGGTCAAATGAGGACATGGGGTTACCTGAGCTCCAATGAACTCAACACTTCACCATGGGGGCAAATGAGGTCACAGGGGTTACCTGAGGTTAATTGGGGGTTACTTGAGGTCACAGGGGTTACTTGAGGTCAAATGAACCCTCTGAACAATCACTGTGGGGTTACTTGAGGTCACTTGGGGGTTACTTGAGGTCACAGGGGTTAGTTGAGGTCATTTGGGGGTTACTTGAGGTCAAACAAACCCCTCTAAAAAGCACTGTGGGGTTACTTGAGGTCACAGGGGTTACTTGAGGTCAAATGAACCCTCTGAACAATCACTGTGGGGTTACTTGAGGTCACAGGGGTTACTTGAGGTCAAATGAACCCTCTGAACAATCACTGTGGGGTTACTTGAGGTCACAGGGGTTACTTGAGGTCAAATGAACCCTCTGAACAATCACTGTGGGGTTACTTGAGGTCACAGGGGTTACTTGAGGTCAAATGAACCCTCTGAACAATCACTGTGGGGTTACTTGAGGTCACAGGGGTTACTTGAGGTCAAATGAACCCTCTGAACAATCACTGTGGGGTTACTTGAGGTCACAGGGGTTACTTGAGGTCAATTGGGGGTTACTTGAGGTCACAGGGGTTAGTTGAGGTCATTTGGGGGTTACTTGAGGTCAAACAAACCCCTCTAAAAAGCACTGTGGGGTTACTTGAGGTCACAGGGGTTACTTGAGGTCAATTGGGGGTTACTTGAGGTCACAGGGGTTAGTTGAGGTCATTTGGGGGTTACTTGAGGTCAAACAAACCCCTCTAAAAAGCACTGTGGGGTTACTTGAGGTCACAGGGGTTACTTGAGGTCAATTGGGGGTTACTTGAGGTCACAGGGGTTAGTTGAGGTCATTTGGGGGTTACTTGAGGTCAAACAAACCCCTCTAAAAAGCACTGTGGGGTTACTTGAGGTCACAGGGGTTACCTGAGGTCAATTGGGGGTTACTTGAGGTCAAACACCCCTCTGAAAATCACTGTGGGGTTACTTGAGGTCACAGGGGTTACTTGAGGTCAAACACCCCTCTGAAAATCACTGTGGGGTTACTTTCTTGAGGTCACAGGGGTTACTTGGGGTCAAATGAACCCTCCGAAAATCACTGTGGGGTTA